TTTTTTTTTCCCTTCAGGCATTGATTTGCCTTCTTAGGACCAAGTTTTAAATTAATTGAAAAATTAGTTATTATAGCCATTCAGAAAGTACTTTCTGAAGCCATAGTAAATGACTTTGCTAAAGGCTAATAAGAAATTTGTGTTCATAGGAAAAAATGTGTTAACAAATGACGTTATAACTTTTTGAATTTTTATTTTTCTCATTGAATGCCTACAGTCATTTTTTTACTTTGACCTCTGACAGATTTGTAGTACTTGTATTTATATTGTTGCCAACCTTAGCAAAAGGCTTAGTTAATAGTGTGTAGAATTTATCAAGACATTTTTAGCAGAAAAATTAAATCCAAATAACAATTATATACCTTCAAAAAAAGTGCAGTAAAATTTCTGAATTTGTACTGTACTTGAGTACAGTTAAAATTTATCAAAGAATTTAGTGCCACATAGTTTTTTCTTAGATTCTGCACACTAGATTTTAGTTATTAAAAGAATAATTTCTAATTTAATATAAATTGAATCCTTTGTTAACTTACAAGAGAAAGCTTCACATGGAGCAAAAGAATTCAGAAAATGTTTCCATAAATTTTTAAAACTTGAATCTTAAACATACTTATTTTTACCATTTACTGTTTTTCTAGTCTTTTTACATTTGATCAAAGTTCTTTTCTATAAAATGTAATTTTTTCAAGAAATGCATGAAATTTAGAACATTACTCCTTAAACTTGTGACTTGTGATATTTTTTAAAGACCTCTATCACTCCATAGAAAATTTTTATTTAAACTTACTATAATAAAATTGACCAGAATCCTAATCTAAATTAATCATATTAATTTATGGATTGGTTACGTTTTGAAACTTGTGATCCCTGAATCTTTACCGACAATTATAATTTCAAAATTCTTTTGGTTAATCTGTATTTACCTTTATAAAAAAATTATTTATAAAATATTTGGTTAGTCTTTCCTTGGGTATATGAAGTAAGTAGCCTGACTGACACTCCTTTGTTTTTTTGTTAGTTTGTTTGATGAAGTGTTTTATTTCTGAAAACTTTAGTCATCTTTCATTCTAGGGAATAACG